CAAAGGGTTATATCCAGAAATATGGCATTGACTATGATGAGGTTTTTGCCCCTGTTGCTCGCTTGGAAACCATTCGGTTGATTATCTCCTTGGCAGCTCAAAACAGGTGGAAAATTTATCAAATGGACGTTAAGTCCGCTTTCTTGAATGGCTATCTTGAAGAGGAACTGTATGTTCAACAGCCATTGGGATATGTTGTCAAGGGACATGAAGACAAAGTCTTGAAATTAAAGAAGGCGTTGTATGGCTTGAAGCAAGCGCCAAGGGCATGGTATAGCTGTATTGACAAATATTTCCAAGACCATGGCTTCACCAAATGTCCACATGAACATGCTCTTTATGTCAAAGAAGACAAAACTGGAGGCTTTATGCTAGTGTGCTTGTATGTTGATGACTTGATCTTCATCGGCAATAATGCAAACATGTTTGAAGAATTTAAGAAGGCAATGACTCAAGAATTTGAGATGACCGACATTGGTCTCATGTCCTACTACCTTGGAATTGAGGTAAAGCAAAATGAAGATGGAATTTTTATTTCTCAAGAAGCTTATGCAAAGAAAGTTTTGGAGAAATTTGAAATGGAAAATTGCAAGTCGGTAAGCACCCCCATTGGTTGTGGAACTCGACTGTCGAAGTACGATGAAAGTACAAAGGTGGATCCCTCTCTGTATAGAAGCCTTGTTGGAAATCTGAGATATTTGACTTGCACACGGCCAGACATCCTCTATGGTGTTGGTCTTGTGAGTCGGTACATGGAGGCACCTACTTCAACACACATGAAGGTGGCCAAGAGAGTACTTCGATACATCAAAAGTACTGTTGATTATGGCCTAACTTATTCTTTTTCCACAAATTTCCAACTCTATGGCTACAGTGATAGTGACTGGGGTGGTGATGTTGATGATCAGAAAAGCACCACCGACTTTCTATTTTTCTTGGGTGACACTGCTTTCACTTGGTGTTCAAAAAAGCAACCCATTGTAACTCTCTCTACTTGTGAAGCTGAATTTGTTTCTGCTGCATCATGTGTCTGTCATGCAATTTGGCTAAGGAAGTTGTTGGAGATGCTGCGCATACCTCAAGATGAAGCTACAACCATTTACATAGATAACAAGTCAGCTATTGCTTTGGGAAAGAACCCAATGTTTCATGATCGAAGCAAGCATATAGACACCAGATATCACTTCATAAGGGAGTGCGTTGAGAGGAAAGATGTAAAGCTTGCCTACGTGAAGACCAATGATCAAATTGCTGATATTTTCACTAAGGCATTGAAGTTTGAAGATTTTGCAAGACTGCGTGCTTGGATTGGAGTGACTAGAGGTGATCAAGTTTAAGAGGGGGTGTTGGAAAAATAAACTTGATTTATTAATCTCCTATTTTTAATTAGTCATGTACCTGCATAGTTCATGTGCCAGCATAGTTCATGTACCCATTTATTTTATCTTTACAGTTTCTAGGAGTTGCATTTAACTGTTTTGGGGGTTTGGAGTCTTTTGTGCCTATAAAATGGCTTGTGCTTGTACTTGAGTATTGATACATCTAAGCCAAGAATAAAGAAGCATTTCTGGAAAGTTTCTTCCTATGTTCCTCTCCAGTCTTTCCCCCCAAATCTTTATTTCCAACATCTTTATCCATATTGGTTTTTGTTTTATTAGTTCATTGTTCAACGATGCTACAATAACTTTTTGGCTATACAAATTTCTGCAGCTATGGCAGGGTTGAGGAATTAGTGTATTTTGCTAGTCTGAAGGAGGAGTATGAAATTGTTGTTCACCACTGTATTCAGGTGCCCTCAGCTCCTTAATTTTCTCGGTACTAATATTACCTATTTATTTTTTGGCTCCTACTAGTTGAATGGAATTTATTTTTCCTTATGTTGTAATTATCAGTATATTCTGTTTTGCAAAACCCAGAGTTGTATAAGGGGGTTACTGTTTTCTTTGGGCTACTTTTCAGTGAAAAGTTTTCAATTTGTAATCCCAAAAGAGAATAAAGATTTTTGGCCCTTAATTCTTCCTTTTATTTACTGGTTACCTCTATTAGTAGAATAAAGTAGCTAATACTGCAGCGAAAATAGATGCTTTTTTTTTTTCCCCTTTTGGCCAGAGGTTGAAAATGCAGACGCTCTATTACTTCTTATCTTTAATTCACAATTAGATATTTAGAGTTGGTTTGATATAAGTGAATTCTATGAAGTTTTGTTGAATTCATTTGCAATTCTATTGTCCTCTTGGGTGGGTTTGGATAGGGTTACCGAAGGTCTCCGGTTGGGTCATTTTGGGTTGCAGGTGAAGGGAGCACATAGGTTTCAAATTAGGTCAAGTGGATCAACTTTTTAAAATTAAGTTAAAATTAAAACTTAGTGGGCATGCATTTGTTACTAGTTTCTCAACCATTTTTCTTGAAAAAATGTAATATTAACTAATTATTTAATTAAAAAAATCTATAAAATTAATCTTAAATCTAATAAGTTAATAAATAATAACTATATAAATTTTAAGTTTTATTTTTTATTTAAAAATTAAAATTGAAAGTATGTTTAATCAATAGTTTAAATTTTAAAAAATAAATTAATTTTAGTAAGGTCACTTCAGTTGACTCGACCTTGTCTCGACCAAGTCAAATTTAGGTAATTTCGGTTTGGATTATGTTAGGTTTCGGGTCAAGACCTTGGACCCAGAACTGTGGATGGATTGCCAGGTCTACAATTCCATACCACTTGTACTTAGTATGGTTGAAAATTGTTAATATTTTAAATCCAGTGTTCTGACTCCATGCTTTCGTGTTTTAATTTAAAATTTTGTAGAACTTATTTACAAAATGACAAATCCATGATCTAGTGTTGGTATAAAATGAAGCATTCAATTCAATTAAACTTTCAATTCCATTTTTGACTTAGAACTAACTCAGGTCCTTTGAAAATTAATTAATTGGTTTTTCTTTTTCATTTTAAGATTTAATGCTTATAGATGTTTACCTTTTTGACTTCAGCAAGGAGAAGCAAAGAAAGCATTGGAAGTTCTTCGGAAACCTTCTGTTCTTGTGGACCTTCAAGTATGGATTAAGCTCCAGAATTTGGAATACAGAAGACTGTCAAATCACCATTTCCATGTTGGCCAGCTGGTCCTCATTTAATCTCTATTTCCTTATCATTTAATTCTGCCTCTGCCTTACAAAAGCTGGTTGATCTTTTTTTTTTGTAAGAGATAACATCCTCTTACTCCCAAGTGTAATTAATGATATTTCAATAAAACTGCAGTACAAGTTTGCCCCTGATCTTATAGCGCTTGATGCATATGAAACTGTGGAGTCATGGATGGCCTCAAACAATCTGAACCCAAGAAACTTATACCTTCGATGATGCGTTATTCAAGTGAACCTCATGCAAAGTACTGCTTATTAGACTTTCTTTTGAAATGCATTTAATCATTACTATTGGTTATTTTTCCAATTGTTCTATTTGCTTCATGTTAAATTTAAAGTTTTTTAGTTGAATCCATATGTGATTATTTTGTTATGATAGTTTATATTAGCAGGCAAAGTGAAAGTTTTCATGCAGATTTATGAGGTCATGCATGGTTTTCATTGAAAGAACAGTTTTATGGCTGTTTTATCTGTCAGATTTAATGTGCATTGAGTTTGCTATGCTGGTTTCTTTTGGCCTCTAGTCTACTATTCATTTTATAGGTTGAAAATCTTGCATTTTTTTAATTAAAAGAATTCTATGTTTGAGGTTGGGTAAATGCTTGTTATGAGGAAATTTGTTTAGATTCTTTATTGTGAATTGATTGCATGGCATGGGTGCATGGAAAGAATCAGACAGGATGAAGCACTGTGAGTTATCCCTTCACAAGACAGAGAAGCATCTTTATTCACCAACATTGTAGCTTTCATATTCTGATGGATCTTATGGCAATTTGACGTTTGGGCTTACAACGCTGTCATTTTTTATTGTTTTTTTGTGACATTTCCAGTTTAGTATGTATTACTGGTTGATTCATTTTATGACATTGAATAGCGTTTCACCCCAAAGATTCATTTTATGGTATTGAATAGCACTTCATACCAAAGAAATAAGAAATGTAGTTGCCACGACATCAATTTTCATTATTTATTGGATATTATACTTTCTATATCATTAACCATTAATTACCCATGGTCTGGAAATAAGTCTCCAATAATTATTTGTTCAGTTTCTTGGTTCCTGGTTTGCTGTGGATTTGAGGATTTGTATTTATCTGTTCTCATGGGTCTTGTATTCCTTTTTATTTCAACTATAACATGCAGGAATGAAACTCATGAAGTAATCAAATATCTCGAATTCTGTGTTAACCGCTTGCATAATGAGGATCCAGGAATTCACAACTTGTTGCTTTCTTTGTATGCCAAGCAGGTTGAGTTACTTGCTCTAAGCTTTCTTAACTTTGGAGCAGCATCATTGGCTGTGTTAAAACTACCGATTGCATTGTGTGCTTATGCCAATAAAGTTCTATTTGTTTATCTTTTTACTGTTATGTGTGTTTTCTGGTCAATTTCTAGCTGCCATGCCACTGATATCATAATCATTTCCAGGTTTCCTTAAGAGATATCTTATCCTTCTACTCATTATAATCATTATACAGTTTAATGCATTGCAATTTATATAGGTTCTTAATTGCAGTCCATATGTGTATCCTATTCCTGAACATTTCAGGCCAAGACTTATTTATTTATGTCAGGTTGTACAGTATCAGTTCTAGCTTTATGCAAAATTGATTTGCGTGCCAAAATAAAAATTTGATATTTTGTTAAAACTAAATGAGGGAAACAAAATAGGAAAGAATAGTTCTTTGCATAAAAGGGAAAGTAGGAATCTTAATAATTACGTATGGGAGTGGTCAGGAGGTTGGTGCCAAATGTGGTTCAGATTCCTTGTTTTTATCGTTTAATTAAAACTGCATGATGTTGTATGAAGGGATTCATACAATGATGTCACTAACCCTGTTTCAGATCCTACAAATTGAAGCTTAGTCTCAACTGTTATACGTAGCACATGTAATGTTTTAGTTTGTCATGGATGATTTTAATGAAATTGAATATTTTCAATTGATTTGGGGTGGTTATTTATACACTTCCATGCATGCACGTGTGTAGTTTCATGGTCTGATTTAGTTCATGCTTACACTTGTATGAGATTATTTAGACATGAATTTGATTTTGATTCCCTTTTATATGATATATGTAGGAAGGTGACAGTGCCCTCCTTTGTTTCTTGCAATGTAAATTTGGAAAAGGACTTGAAAATGGTCCTGAATTCTTTTATGATCCCAAGTTTGCATTACGCCTTTGTCTCAAGGAAAAACGAATCCGTGTCTGCGTTCATATATACAGCATGATGTCAATGCATGAGGAAGCTGTTGCTCTTGCTCTGCAGGTAATAAAACAGTTTCATGATTTGACTTTGCTTTATTTGTATTCTATGTTTACACGATTTAGTACTTCTGCTTTATAATAGCTCTTTCATTCTAGGGATCTGTTTCTTGTACTAGTGAGATTTCGACTAAAGCTATATGGCCATTTGAGTTGTTAAAGTCACAACAGTAAAAATTTTTTCGTAAAAACTAACATTTAGCCCATCACCTTACAAAATTGGTAAGTTTTAATCGCTTATCTTATATTATGATATTTTTATCCCTCATCGATATAAATTAAAGAAAATATCTCTCATCTCATATCAGGTTATAACGTTGTGTTAGTTTTGTTAGTTGGCTGTTAATATCCGTTAGCATTCCATTATAAAAAACATGAAATTTAAATTCAATTTTATTTGTTAGTTCTATTAACGGAATGTTAACGGATGTTAATAATTAGCTAACAGTATTGACAGTCAACTAACAAAATTAACAGTCAGCTAACAGATCTAATAGAACATTATAACCTGATATTAAATAGGGGTTATTTTTTTAATTCGTATAAATAAAAGGCTAAAAATGTCATAATATAAGGTGAGGAGATAAAACCTATCAACTTTGTAAGGTGAGGGGTTAAAACTTATCAACTTTATAAGGTTAAAGGTTAAAAATATTATATTATAAGGTTAGGAGATAAAACCTACCAATTTCGTAAGGTGAGAGGTTAAAAATTGGTTTTAACCCCTATGCAAATAAGCACATTGGCTGATTCCAGCACTTGAATATACTAATTATTGTTTTCTTTCTCAATTATATATTCTATAATTAATTTTCAAATATATGTATCAATATTTAATAAAGT